GAGAAGATGCGCAGCACCGCCGAGTGCGAGGCCTTCGCGCAGGCGCTCCCGGGCAGCGGCAGCGCGCCCCTGCTGAGGGCCCGGGTGGACGACACCCACCGCAGATACGAGCACCTGCTGCAGCTGCTGGACTCGGCCTGCGAGAAGTGGGTGCCAGGCGGGCAGGGGGAGGAGCCAGGCGAGGGGCCGATGGCAACCCCACCTGTGACCCGGCCCTAGGGTGGACGCTGCCAACCGCCTGGAGGAGAGCCTGCGGCAGGCCCGGGAGGTGCTGGCTGCCTACGAGAACCAGCTGGCCCAGGAGGACACCGTGCCCGACAGCAGCCACGCCCTGGACAGCAAGAGGCAGGGGCTGGCGGTGAGTGGGGGCGGCCGCCTTCCTCTGACCCGGGCCCCAGGCACCCACCCAGCGCCCCTCCAGGCCGGGACGCCCCACTGGTGGCGGAGTGGGGTGGGGGAGGGGCAGGCCCACGGCTCGCGCTCAGCTGCCCTGGGGGTTGCCCTGCCTACGGGACCCACCTGAGTGACCCGGTGCTCGGGGTGTGCTGACCTGGCCGGCAGCTGCTCTTGGCCCGTGGCCACTCGGCCGCTTCCAACAAGGGGCCGCTTCGGGCCCCTTGACCCACCTGCCCTGGGCGCGTGTGGTGAGCCCCGATGCTCCTGGGGCCGCGTGGAGACCCCGAGGGCGCCGCGACGCTGCGGGGGCCGCTGGCGGTGGGCCTGGGCGCGTGAACTGAGCCCCGACGCCCTCTCCGCCCCGCCAGGCCATGGCCTCCCAGCTGCAGGCCCGGCAGGCCCTCGTGGGCGAGGCGGAGAAGAACCTGCAGGTGGCCAAGCAGTGCTGCGGCCTGCTGGCCAGCCGCTTCCAGGAGCACTGCCCCGACCTGGAGCGCCAGGAGGCCGAGGTGCACAAGCTGGGCCAGCGCTTCGACAGCCTGGGCCAGCAGGTGGAGTGCAGGTGAGCCCCACACCGTTTCCTGGCGGGAAGAGCGGCTCCTGGCAAAGCTGCCCGCCCGGGCAGGCCCGCTCCAGGCCCGCAGCGACGGCCTCGCCCGCGGCCTCGCTCGGCCTGTGCACCGCCAGCGCCCCCACCGCTCCTGTTTCTGGAAGCTTCTGTAGAATGTGCTTCTTCCTGATGTGCCGGAGAGGGCCTGGGGCTGCGTCTTGCACACCCCGTGCCGCGAGGCTTCTCGCCAGGTTCTCGCCGGCAGGAGGCGCTGACCCGTCCCGTGTGGCTGAGCCTCCTGTGCGTCCCCACGGAACTGTCCCCGTCCGTCACGCGTCAGCTGCGGGGTGCTCCCCCCGCGCGCCTGCAGCACCGGCGCCCGTCCTGGCTCCGTGTGACCCGCGGCCCCTCGGCCGCCCCCGCCCGTTTCGAAGAGCGGCTTTGGCCGCTGCGCGCCTCCTCTTGCTTTCCGGGTTCCTCTTTCGCGGGCATCACTGCTGGTGCCCCGCTGCCGCCGACTGCAGAGGCGCCGAAGCCCCTCCTAAAGCCCGCTTCGCCTGCGTCTGTCGTGACCCGCGCTCTGACATTGTCCTCCTCGGCGAGCCACCCCCCCCCAGGTTCCCTGACCTCCCGTGACTCCTCCGAGGGTGGGGGCGTGGGGCTGTGCCGCTGGCCTCCCTGCCCCCAGGCGGTGGACGTCCACAGTGCCGTGTCCGCCTGGCCCTGAACGTCTGCGTCCCTCCCAGCTCCGCTCCGCTCAGTGTGGCCCTTGAAGACAGCACGGCAGACTCCCCTGCCAAGGGCTGGGCGCAGCCCCCACCCCCTCCCGTCTCCCGCCCAACGCCCGCCTCTGCCCGCAGGGCCCGGAGCCTGCAGAGCGCGCAGGCCGCCTACGCCGAATACCGGCGCGGCTGTGACCAGGCGCTCCGCTTCCTGTCCGGCGTCCCCAGCTACGCGCCGCAGGAGACAGACAGCCTCAGCCAGATGGAGACCAAGCTGAGGAACCAGAAGGTTAAGGCAGCTGCCTCTGCACCCACGGCAACTGGGGGCCAGGGTCAGATGGGGGGCCCTCCCGGAGGTGGGGCCCCTGCGGCTTTGTCCTCGTGAGCCCTCTGGCACGGGCACGCTGGGAACGAGGGTGCATCCTGCTCCCTCCTCGGTGCCCACACAGGGCCTGGCCCAGCGCAGACACTCGGGCAAGCTGCCTGCCTGAGAAGGGCCCCAGGGACACGGGGTGGGGGTGGGGACCCTGGCCGGAACCCTTTCCAAACATCAGGGTCGCGCCTTCTCAGAGGCAGCGGCGCCTGATGGGGCGGGGCATGGCCACAGCCGCCCCCGCGGCCCAGACTCAGGGCCCAGCGCCACCCCACGAGCGGTGTGCCCACAGCCACCGGACGGCGCGGCCGCCGTGCCTCACTCGGAGCCCGCAGACAAGGAAGGTGCTTACCTCTCAGGGCTGTCTGAAGACGGTATCGGCAATCTCAGACAGCAGAATGGCCCTGGCACTGTGAAGCCCGCAAGAAACGCTCATTTCCGGGCAAAGACAAGTGTCTCCTTGGCCCTTCCCCACGGGGCCTTGGATGTGCCTTCTGTAAGGGACAGATGCAGACAGGAAAGCGACTCACTATCCTTGCGCAGGAGGGTGACTCCAGATCCTAAGGAGTCCAGCTACTCTATCAGGGCTTTGTTTTTAGCTCTGACCTGTGAAATCTGTCCTTCCTTGCACAGAACCTGCTCGATGAAATAGCGAGGAGGGAGCAGGAGGTACAGAAGGTCTACGCTGCCTCCCAGCAGTACCAGCAGGCTGTCAAGGTGAGACGTCACTGCTTCCTCGCCCCCGTGGGCTGGGAGGGACGCAGCAGGCTGCCAGGACGGCAGCTCGGTGCAGCGGCCGGCACCTGAAAAGGGCTTTCTACCCTGAAAGCAGTAGGCTCGGGGCATTAGGGGAAGGCAGGCTTTCTCCTGAGGGAAAACATGCAGCAGAACGCCGGCTACCGGGGCACGAGCGCTTTACCCTGGCCAAGCAGCCAGCCTAGAAGCACCTCGGCCCGGAGCGGCTGCGCAGGGGGCACGCGGCCACGTGGCGGGCGGCGGGCCACCGGGCCTTCAGGCCGCCAGGAGGGACGGAGGCCCGTGGCGGTGTGAGGAAGAGCGACGCCCGCCTGTAGGCACAGTTCAGGGTGTCCTCTGTCGGGGTGGCCCCGGGGCCGGCACGTGGCCCGGGCGGGGCTGCCGCTGAAGCGTGTAAGAGCCACGCAGGCGCCAACAGCTCTGCGTGTCCCCTTCGCCCAGGACTACGAGTTAGAAGCTGAGAAGCTAAGGTCTCTCCTGGACCTGGAGAGTGGAAGGACCAGCCACGTGAGCAAGAGAGCCAGGCTGCAGTCCCCCGCCGCCAAGGTGAAGGAGGAGGTGAGTTCTGCGGCCGGGTCTGCTCAGGGTGGCCGGCCCTCCGGCTGTGAGAAGGAATGATGCTCTGGGGCGGTGATGCCGCCAGGCTGCAGGTATCCGAGTCAAAGCCACGGGTCCGGGAGGCCCCCGCTGGCTCCCCGCAGTCGGTACAGGGCCGTCGGCTTCTACACACAAGGACACCGAAGCCCAGGCGGAAGACGCTCGAGGTCGCGGGGGGCGGGGGATCTTAAGACACGTGCTTGAGTTCTGGTCTTCGTGTCGTTGAGACCGGAGCGTGCTCCAGGTAGGAAGGAGGGGAGCGAGAAGCCATCTCTTTAGCCACAAACGCCAGACTTCTCAACAGCTGTCCCGGCTGCTCTTCTGCAGGAAGTGGCTCTTGCTGCCAAGTTCACCGAAGTCAATGCCATCAACAGACAGAGGCTGCAGAATCTGGAGTTCGCGCTGAATCTCCTGAGACAGGTGAGCAGCGTCATCCTGCCCCAGGAAACAGCCTGGGCCGGGCGTGGCCCTGGCTAGCCGGGCGGGGCAGCCAGGTGCAGACGCTGGCCAGGCTTCTGCCTGCAGGAGGCTGACTGCATCCAGTCATCATCTGCTGAGTACTCGGGACAAGGTAACTTTTTCAAAAGCACACAATGTTTGTAAGAACCTTGTAACAGCAAGAAACTGGAAACTGTAACAGTGAGAAAGGGGAAGCGGAGCTAGAGGTGGCGGCCCGCTGGCAAACGGCAAGGGCCCGCAGTGGAGGCGTCAGGAGTCCAGCCTGTCCGGACGGTGGCACCCGGTTGCTGCTCCTGTGCCGCTGTGGGGTTCCCTCGAGGGAACCCCAACAGATGGCCCAAGGGTGGCCCGAGTCAGCGTGGCCGCCATCCTCTAGAGCCAGGGCCAGCGGGGCTGCGGTTCCTCTTCAAACTCCTCTGAGTTGTGTCCTTTTCCTCACTGGTCTGTCGCTCGTGTGAGCCCAGCACCAAAGCTGGCCAGGGGCCACAGACAGCCCAGCGCCCTGCCCATGGGGGCCAGGTGCTCCCGCAGGGGCTGGCTCTCACCGCCGCGGTCTTCTCCTCAGCAGTCGGAGGTGGGCGTGACCCATGAGACCCTGCAAGGGAGCGGGCCGGGCTCCGGAGTGGAGGAGACCTGGAGGATCCAGAAGGAGCTGGACGAGGAGACCGAGCGGAGGCAGCAGCTGGAGAGCGAGGTCCAGAGCGCCCAGGAGGAGGTCCAGGCGCTGCAGAGCCAGAGCCCGCAGGAGTCAGTGGTGAAGAAGGAGGTGCTGAAGAAGGTGCCGGACCCCGAGCTGGAGGAGAGCTTCCGGCAGATGCAGCGCAGCCTGGCGGAGGAGCAGCACAAGAACCAGCTGCTGCAGGAGGAGCTGGAGGCGCTGCAGCGGCGGCTGGGCGCCCTGGAGCAGGAGAGCGGGGCCGGGGGCCAGGAGTACGTGGTCAAGGAGGTCCTGCGCATCGAGCCCGACAGGGCCCAGGCAGGCCAGGTCCTGAGGCTGCGGGAGGAGCTGGAGGCGCTGCGGCGGCAGAAGGGCACCCGGGAGGCGGAGGCCGCGCTCCTGCAGCAGCGCATCGCGGCGCTGGCCGAGGAGAAGAGCCGGGCGCAGGAGAAGGTCACGGAGAAGGAGGTGGTGAAGCTCCAGAACGACCCGCAGCTGGAGGCGGAGTACCGGCAGCTGCAGGAGGACCAGCGGCGGGAGGGCGGCCTACGGGAGAAGCGCGAGGAGGAGCTGAGCTTCCTGCAGGGCGAGCTCGAGAGGCTGGAGAAGGCCCGGGCCATGGCCGAGGGCAAGGTCACCGTCAAGGAGGTGCTCAGGGTGGAGCGAGACCCCGCCGCCGGGCGGGAGGTGGGCGAGCTGCAGCTCCTCCACGAGGCCGAGGCCGCCAAGGTGCGCGCCCACCAGCGGGAGAAGGCCGAGCTGCTGCGCAAGATCCGGGCCCTGGAGGAGGAAAACGCCAGGGTGGTGGTGCAGGAGAAGGTGCGGGAGATCGTCCGGCCCGACCCCACGGCCGAGAGCGAGGTGGCCGACCTCCGCCTGGAGCTGGTGGAGCAGGAGCGCAAGTTCCGGGGCGCCGAGGAGCAGCTCAGGAGCTACCAGAGCGAACTGGAGGCGCTTCGGCGGCGGGGTCCCCAGGTGGAAGTCAAAGAGGTGACCAAGGAAGTCATCAAGTACAAGACCGACCCCGAGCTGGAGGAGGAGCTGCAGCGGCTGAGGGAGGAGATCGTGGACAAGACCAGGCTCATCGAGAGGTGCGACCTGGAAGTCTACCAGCTCAAGCAGGAGATCCAGTCCCTGAAGGACACCCAGCCCCAGGTGCAGACCAAGGAGGTGGTCCAGGAGATCCTCCAGCTCCAGGAAGACCCCCAAACCCAAGCGGAGGTAGAGTCTCTGCGGGCCAGGCTGTCGGAGGAGCAGAAGAAGCAGGTCGACCTGGACAGGGAGCGGCTCTCCCAGGAGGAGAAGATCAGGGCCAAGGAGGCGGAGCTCTCCCAGGTGAAGGAGACGGTGGTCCGGCAGGAGGTGGTCAGGTTCGAGGAGGAGCCGGGCCTGCGCGCCGAGGTGGACGCCTTCACCGAGAGCATCGACGTGGAGCTCCGGCAGATCGACACGCTGCGCGGGGAGCTGCGGCGGCTGCAGCGCCGGCGGGCCGAGCTGGAGGGGCAGCTGGAGGAGCTGGAGCGCGAGCGCCGTGCGCGCAGCGAGGCCGAGCTGGAGGTGCAGCACCTGAAGCGGCGGCTGGCCGACCTGGAGGAGGAGGAGGCGCAGGCCCGGGAGAGGGTGACCCTCAAGCAGAAGGTGGTGCTGCAGCAGGACCCCCAGCAGGCCCGGGAGCACGGCCTGCTCAAGCTGCAGCTGGACGAGGAGCGGCTCCGGCGGCAGGCGCTGGAGGGCGAGCTCGAGGCCCTGCGGCAGCAGCTGGGCCGCCTGGAGAAGCTGGAGGTCAAGGAGAAGGTGGTCGTCTCCGAAAGCGTCCAGGTGGAGAAAGGCGACACGGAGCAGGAGATCCGGGAGCTCAAGAGCAGCCTGGAGGAGGAGAGCCGGGGCAAGAGGGAGCTGGACGCCGAGGTGAGCCGGCTGGAAGCCAAGCTGTCGGAGCTGGAGTTCTCCAACTCCAAGTCGTCCAAGGAGCTGGACTTCCTGCGGGAGGAGAACCACAGACTCCAGCTGGAGCGGCAGGACCTGCAGCTGGAGGCCCGAAGGCTCCAGTCGGAGATCGAGCTGGCAGCAACGGAAACCCGGGACCTGCAGACCGCGACGGCGGCGGGCTCCGGGGCGAGCCTCGACTCCAGACTGCGGTCCCTGGAGAGGGAGCTCGACGACCTCAAGCGGCTCTCCAGGGACAAAGACCTGGAGATCGACGAGCTGCAGAAGCGCCTGGGCTCCGTGGCGGTCAAGAGGGAGCAGAGGGAGAACCACCTGCGGCGCTCCATCGTGGTCATCGACCCCGACACGGGCCGCGAGCTGTCCCCCGAGGAGGCCCGCCAGGCCGGGCTCATCGACTGGAACATGTTCGTGAAGCTCAGGAGCCAGGAGTGCGACTGGGAGGAGATCTCGGTGAAAGGGCCCAGCGGGGAGTCGTCCGTGATCCACGACAGGACGTCCGGCCGGAAGTTCTCCATCGAAGAGGCGCTGCAGAGCGGGAGGCTGACCGCCGCACAGTACGAGCGCTATGTCAACAAGGACATGTCCATTCAGGAGCTGGCTGTGCTGGTGTCTGGCCAGAAGTAGCACGCCCTTCTCCGCCTGTCTTCGCGGCAGCTGGGGGCAGGCGCGCTCCCACCCGCTCCCCTCCCGGCAGCGCCCCCCCCCCCCCGCCCCTGCAGGCGCCCATCCCAGCTCCCCTCCCTGCCCGGGGCGTGGCTCACCCACAGGCCGTTCGGGCACTGGCAGAACTGGCGGCCGTCCCGTCACCCAGCCCGGGGGCGGCCTGTTTCGCACCCCGTGACCCAACCAGTGCCGCGCCGCTCTGCGTCCTCCCTGGCTGCACCTCCTGGCGCTCGTGGACTGAAGCACGAGACGACGGGCAGACTGGCGCGGCCTCACGCTCCGTGGGGCGCTGGCAGGCCGGACGGCCTCCCCTCCACCCCCGCTCGCCCCTGCCCCACGGGCCGCCGCCTCAGCTGCCCCAGGACGAGGCGCCTCTTGGCTCCGAGGACGCGTGGCCCCGGGTGACAGCGTCTCATGGAGGCCCCGCTGCCGCTGCCTGACTTTCTGCGCCTTACAAGTCTTGCTGTTATCTCGGTGGTATTTAGGTAAGCTAAACTTGATTTCTCACCAAACCATTCTAGGTTCTCTGTATCTCATGTATAATGCAAGAAAACGGGAAGGAATAAGGAACTCTATTTATAGCTCGAAAATAAAACCCTGGTGGCTTGACTCATTTCGGCTGAGTGTTTCTTCCTGCTGGGGGCTTCTCCTCCCCCACTCCCTGCGGCGCCAGCCGGGATGGGCTGCCCACTTCCACACCTGCCCCACAGGAGCCAGGGTCACCTGCCACAGGTAACAACAACCAAAGAAGTCCGAGAAGGGTTCTGGAAACCTTGAAACAATTTATTGAGTTGCTTTATACAAGATGAACAATTTCCACCCCACCCCCACCACCAACGCAGTCCTGCACAAAGGCCAGGCAGCCCTCTCACCCTGCGCCGCCAGGCCCGGGAGCCGGCCTGTGGCTCTGCCTTGCCGTGGCCGGTGAAGTCATTCACTCCGCGTTCCCACAAATAAAGCATAGACAGGAAAAAGAAATCCCATAAACTCCCCATCAAAGAAACGGTTCCCTGAGGCAAGAGGCATCACTAGATTCCTAAAAATGAGGAAATTCTGCTCCAGCTGCTGTCACTGGTACGGGGCGGGGGCACCGCAGGGGCCGGCCGGTGCGGCCGAGCTGTCGCAGACGCCTGCAGAGTCTCTGCTCGGCTCTGAGCTCAGCAACACAGATCTCTTCTTTGGCTCTTTTGCTACTACCTAAAACTACTCTGTAAACAAACGGGGGTCCAAGTTGCAAAAAAATATATATAACAAAGGAGTGAGGAATCCACTTAGCCCAAGGCGGTTCTTACATTTAAAAAAAAAAAAAAAAAAAAAGCAGAGGCCTGGCCGGACCGCTGGCCGAGGTCCCAGTCCCCTACAGACCGACAAACCTCTGCGGGGTCGCGAGTCGCTGAGCACCGGACCCGGGTCGGGACGCAGGACGGTCTCCACAGGCCCCACTCGGCCTGCTGCTGCCAGTCCCGACAGCGTGCCCGGGGCGGGGCAGCCGGCGGACACCGAGCAGGGGGCCCGGGGGGCGCACGGCCCTGTGCTGCCGTGAAGCAGCTCCAAGCTAAGCCCTCATCTGTCTGACGTCGTCTCTGAAGCCCAACAGCGTCGCCCTGAAGTCAACGTGGGACGCCCCAATAGCGCAAGGCTGTTTTGGACCTGGCGGATGCTTCAGAGGCCGGTCCCGCGGTTCTGCCTGAGAGTCTATGCAAACTGAGGCCTGCGGCCCTCACGTCCCTGGCCCTAAGAGACGAAGACAGGCTTCAGGGCCCTGCAGTCCACCTATCAACTCCGAGTCACACACTAGGCCCTGCTGAGCTGGGGGCCAGATGACCCTCACGTCAGAACAGCACAGATTATGATGTGCAACCGTAAAAAACTCAAATAAAGCTGCCGTCTTAAACACAGACATGTCTTTAAAAGAAGGCCGTCTGAGGCCCCGAGGGCTGCGTGGCCGTGCTGTCTAGCCCTGCCCCACCCTAAAGGCACTGGGGTTTTGTCTTCCTGTAATGTGGCGCGAGAAGAACAGGACCATTCTAGCCGATGTATTTAATGGGAATGATGAAAACTGAGCCAAAATAAGTCTTTAAAAATCCTGTCACAATCATCGAATCTACAAAGGTCTTCTCTCTGAAGAGCGTCGCTGTCCTGTCGGCAGCGAAGCCGGCCGTCACGCGCATCAGGCGTGTTCCGAGACGAGGCCGGTCTGCCGGCCGCAGCGCAGCCCGCTGTCGTCCTCCTGTAGGCGCCGCTTGCGGGCGGCTGGACAGCACGCCCCTCCGGCATCCGCTGCGGCCGGGAGGGCGCCAGGAGCTCCTCTGGCCCAGCCAGGGGAGGGGCAGAGGTGACTGCCACGGGTGCCAGCGGCGTCGCCCCTCGACAGAGCCCCAAAGCCCGGGCCGCCGGGCCAGTCAGTGCCAGGAGAAGCGGGGGCTGTCCCCTCCCAAGTGCCCAGAGATGCTCTGCTTAGCACTCACGCCTTCCCCAGAAGAAACCCGACCGGCAGAAGGGGCGTAGCGATGATCCGATTTCTGAGGCCTACTCGGCCATCTCCTACCCAGACCCAGGCTAACCAGGCCCATCCTCTGAGCTGGTCATAATTTCCGTGGAACACCAGGCCCCTTCCCGTGAAGCTGAGAAGCATCTGGAAAAGAACAAAACAGAACACAAGTCTTTCAGGACCTCTGATTCCCTTAAGGCAGCAGCCCTCTTCTCACAAGCAAACTCCCCCAGCCCGAGCGCCCCGGAGCACAGGCAGGCCAGGAAACACTGGCCGGTGGCCCTGGGGATGGCCACCTGCGGCGGCAACAGCACGCACACGCCTGGCGTGGCGCCAAGGTGCCTGTGGAGGGCCGCTTGGTACCACGGACTGCTCCACTCAGGCAGGAGCTGACCAGTCTCCCAAGTCCTAACACGCTCACACCATGCCACATGGCAGTGACCAGTCCCCACCAGCAAAGACCTCGGGATCCTGGAGACATGCTCGACGGCACGCACATTCACGCTGAGCCCACAGAAGCCAGCCAAGCAGCACGCAGCCACCAGGGCAGGCGCGTCCCGGCTGCGCACAGGGCTGCCCGGCCACCATGGGACATGGAAGCAGAGCAGAAATGCCAGCTCGGAGAGCTTGCTCTAGCACAGGTGCCCTGCCATCGCTGCCCAGCAGGAACAAGAGGGAAGTGGTCTGCTGAAAACCAGAGAGCAGCAAGCGTGTCTGGATGGCTCTTCGGCTGTTTTTGGAAGAGCAACCTCTGAAAACACACCCACGAGTCCTGGGGACCCCCAAAAATTCCATAGCGGCAGTGGCTGCTGCCAGCGCTGGAGCGAGTCCTTGCTCTCACTGCTTCCCTGAAGAAAAGGGGTCACTAAGGATGCAGGTTCAAGCCCCTCAATTTCTTTTTCTCTGAAGAAGTAAAACTTCCACCTTGGGTGCTCACAAATTGATTTTTGCATGCAGGGGGCTCTTGGGCCTCACTCTGAACGATCTGCCTCAGGACACGGGGGCAGGAAGCCGCTGTAAAAGTGGGGGCAGCTGGCACTCGGGCTCAGGGCTCTTGGGGAGGTCAGTCAAGGCAAGGCGGCCCAGGCTCAGCCCTCCCCTGACCGGGTGCCCACCGCTCACGCCTGGGCAGTGCTGCAGAGAGAGCAGCAGCAGGTCAAAGCCAAGGCCCCAGGTGGCCTCACACCAGGAGGCATCAAGCGCCCCCAGCCCAGGCCCAGAGGGCCGAGGCAAGTCCCCTGACTGAAGGTGCAAGCCTGGGCTGCCAAGGGGCCCATTTCCAAGAGCGGGAGCAGCAAGGGGAGGGAGTCTGCCACTCCTGCCGCGCCCACCCCTTGCTTCTTCCCTAGAGGCGCACCCCGCTAGACAGCGCATCAGAGGGCAGGCCCCTGAGGCCTTTCCCCTTCATTAAGGCAGAGGTCAGAGTGCTTCCTGCAAACTGCTAACACCCCAAGATGAGGTGGGGCCCACCCCAACAGCACGCCCATACCGCCCAGGTTTATTTTTATGGCAAAGGAAGCCCAGGGCTAGGGCCCTGCCTTGCTGCTGAGCCACCGGCCGCATCTGCGGCCAGAGCAAGGCTGACCCTGGGGCCTCTCACACAGGGTGGCGCCTGCGTGACACGGAGGCCCAGGCCCAGCGCCTCACAGGACAAACTGGACAACACAGTGACAACGCGGGGAAGACACGGAGCCCCTCGGCGCGGGCAGGCTTCGAGGGCGGGCGCACGGTGCACGTGGCGCTGGCCGCCGGCCATTACCTGGCAGACTCTGTGGGACGTGGGTGGACACGGCAGCGTGAGGGAGAGGCGCTGCGCGGGGCGGGCTGGAGTGCAAGCCAGCCAGGAGACCTGGGAGAAGACAGGAGGGAGGAGAGAACAAACACACACGCTGACGACGGCACAGGAGCCGCCTCGGCTCGGAGCCCAGCAGCCTACGCGCCAGGCTCTGGTGAACACCCTCCAGGGAGGGGCTCAGCACCGCCCCCCCGATGCTGCCCAGGGCCTCACACCACACAGACAGGAGGACAGAACGCAGGGGCACAACACAGTGTTCCTGGGGCACCCTCTGACCCCATGTGGCGCGCGGAGGACGCACTCACTGTGGCTGAGGCCGTGGTGGAAAGTCCCGGGAGCGGGCCCCGTGACGATGGCGTCCTTGGAGACCCCCGCTTTGGCGGCCGAGTCGGCACCGAAGGAGATCATGTGCAGCGGGAACGGGGAGATGATGCCCAGGGAGCCCGCATTCACGGCCCCCGGCAGCTTGGGGCCGCCGGACTTGTATGACGAGGACAGCAGGCCTGAGGAGCTGGTCAGCAGCACAGCCCCACTCGTTCCTTTCTAGGGAGGACACAGCAGGGTCAGGCTGTGGCGCCACGCGCCCCTCACACCGAATGCGGACGCCCAGGTCCTGGAGGGAGCGGGAGGCCCCCAGCAGCGCTCGCTAGGCAGAGGGCCTCCTCTGCGCAGGCCTGGGGGCCGCGGCTCACTGCACACGCGTGTGCTCACATACATGAGCCTGTCTCTGGGAAGGACAGGAAGATGGCTGGCGGCGGCAACGTCAACGCTGCCTCCCTCCCAACCTGCTTTCACAGCGCCAGCTCCCAGCTCGGCGGTTTCATGCACTGGGGAGCTCTCCTGCCTTGCCCACAGGCCAGCCTCAGAAACTGCTGGACCACCAAGTTGTCTTTGCAGAGTTCAAGGCCCAGCAGACACTCACTCTTAGAGAGTAACTCGTCTTCCCGGGCATGAGCCCCCCTCCCCCTCGCTCATGACCTCGCGGGTGACTGCATGCTCATCTTGCTCCCTTGGACAGATGAGCAGGCAGGAGGCTGCAGAAGGGAAGCTCTGTGGCTCCCTGTAGGCACACAGCCTCTTGCTCCCTGCCAACACCCCACTGACGGGTCCTTCCCCTCACACGTCCCAGGGAAGTCACAGGCTTCCCAGGGCTGCTGTCACAGAGCAATGAAGGCCTGAAAACAGGAAGCCAGTCCAACCGCATTGCGCCAGCTCACTAGGACTGCAGGTCAGTGTCAGGTGCCTCTGACCGGGACGAGGCCCGCGGCCCCGGCCACAGGCCTTCGGGGCGGCCGCAGCCTGCACTCACCGACAAGGAGGGAGACGAGGTCACGCTGCTCACCGCGGTCGGCTTCAGGGAAGAGGTCAGTAGCTTGGCCACTCCTTGGGTCCCTCCGCTAGAATCTCCATTCGGACCACCAGGAGGAGCCACCAGGGTCAGCTTCTGGGACACAGGTGGTTTCTTCACTGCGGAGCTGGGGAGGGGCCGGCTGGCCGGCTGGCCTGTGGAGGGAGGCTGCACCCCCGGAAGCAGGCTCCCAGAGGTTGAGCCTTGGGCGGGTGTCCCCCCAGAGGAAGAGCTGCCAGAGGAAATCCCGTGTTTAGAGATGGAGCCGGCGAAGGGGCTGCTCTTGTAAGACGGCCCTGATGCGCTGGCCGAGTGCTGTTTTGCTGGATGGCTCAGGGCAGCCGAGGCCGAGGCTGCGGCTTTATGAGAGCTGCTGCCGGAGGCAGGCGTGCCTCCTGAGGAGGCCGGCGCGGGGGGGTGGAAGCTCGGGCCTTTGGTGGGCGTCTTCACAAGCTGGAGGAGTGAGCGATGACACTGAGGGGAGGGAGCCTTAGGGCCCTGGAGCTTACTGACCAGGGGGGAGGTGGGTGGCAGCTTACTGACCAGTGGGGCCGGGGGAGGGACGCCCTTCTGCTGCTGCGTCCCTGCATGAAAGACCTTGACCTGCGGGCTGGGCCCTGAGGCTGCTGCCTGGGGTCCGTGAGACGTCCGTGGCAAACTGTGATGCTTTGCTTTGGACTGGTGCACGTCTGGCAGACCCTTGCTGAGGGGAGCCTGACAGGACAGCTCTTTGTAGCCAGCACTCTCTGTTTTTTTCTCCTGAGAGGATGGCCCCAGTGCCAGAGCCTGTTCAGCCAGGAAATTGAGAGGTGACTGCAAAGAACTAGAGGGTGGTGGGGCAGAAGGGCTGGGCTTCTGAAAGTTCCTTTTTTCTTCAGTACATAAAACACCTGCAACTTTTTCTGTAGGGGTTTTCGCGGGTGTGGGCAGTGTGAACTCTGTGCCCCCACTGGCTCTGCCGCTCAGAGCAGCCAGCTCCTTGGACACGGCCTCCAGGGAGGGGGCCGAGCCGCGGAGCAGGTCGCCGTCCAGTGAGTCCTCCAGGTTGATGGGGGCGGAACCAGCAAGACCGCCAGATGCCTGGGATGAGAGATCCCGGCCTGTGGCCCCGGGGCTCAGGCCCGCTCCCGGGTGATCTGAAGGCAAAGCAAGGGGGCCGCCAATCTGGCCTGATGGGACGGAGACCTTCTTATCGGGCTTAGCGGAGGATTCCTAGAGGAAGCACAAACGAGGGTGTTTAAAAATATCCCCAGATGGGCCTCCCTGGTGGCACAGGGTTGTCTCAGCACTGTGAAGCTGTGGGGAGCCCTGGAGGCCAAGAGTGACCCACGGGGTGCAGCAGACCTCTCCTGTCTCCCTGCTGCTCCCCTCAGCAGTGGATTTCAGTCGACCTGCCTGTTCTGCTCCCCGCTCTGTGTCTGGTGAGTCCTCTTACCCCCACACCTCTGACCTACTTCTTGTCTGCATAAATACAACTTTAGAGAGAAACACCCAGCCGAGGACTGGGAGCCGGGCCTGTGTGACCACAGACACTGCCCCTGCCACAGGGGCGCGAGGCCACCGGCTGGGGCTGAGCTCCCTGGGCAGGCTGCTGCCAGGTAAGCCCTCCCGCAGGGAGCAGCTTCTCTCTCCTTCTCAAAGACAAAGACTGGCGCAGACACTCTCCCCGTGGGCACCCAGTGATCTCAGCACAATGCGGGGCGTGTGGACCCCTGAAAGCCTTTTTTTGTAGCTCCTGTCTCCTCACTTAGGTTTGAATGAAAAATCATTTCCTGGCACAGTAAAGGGGTGTACCTGTCATTCTTGCAACCCAAGAGCTCCAAGCAGTGTGTCTGGGTGCTGTGGCGCTTACAGCTGTGCTCACCGGCTACCCAGATGTGGCACAGGCACTGGGCACCTCAGCAACTGCCTTAAGTTGGGAGAAAGCGGCTGCGTTTTGCCCTGGGGGTTTCCCACGCACCTGAGGTGGTGCTCGCCGTCCCCAGAATCCGTGACTGCACCTTCCCCCGCCCCGATCCCTGTCAGGTAACCTCAACAAGGCCATCTGTCCACCTGAGGCCCTTGAGGCTGACACACCCGGCCAGGCACACAGTCGTCCAGGGAAAGGCGGCCGTAACAGCACGACACTTAACAGTGCAGGCCTGTACCCCTCAGGGCTGTCTGCAGGGCCTCATTTCATCCCACAGCCGCCCAGGAACTGGCCAAGTAGGTGCGTTTCCTAGACCATCCATGGCTCTGGGCCGTGAGTGGCTCGGCTTGGCTCTCAGCAACACCAGGCCACTACAACTGCAAGTCTCGGCCTGAACAGCTGCCCCGGCCCAGCTAACCGCTATGAGCCACCACAGTCACTGAGACACTTTGGGAGTCCGCATCTGATCTGAGCATGCGCACACTCACCTTCACCTTGATTTTAGAAGGGGCCATTACTTTCTTCTTGGCCCTGTTCAAAGGAATAAACACAGCAGAGGTTTAGAGGACACCCACAAGGGAGACGAAATGACAGCAGCACTGAGAAGGAGAAACACCAAGACACTCACAGAATCGATGTCAGGTGCCCGTGGCCGCGTCTGCTCTCCTTAAACAGAGTCCTGAAAGAAATGGGACGCCAGGCACTCGGGACACGCCCCTGGAAGCAGGCTCTGTCCCGTCAATCATCTACCGTTCCTGGCCTGGGGCTGCTCCTCGCTGAACAGCCGGGACAAGAGCTGAGTCCCCGCCCTGAGGACCTAGAGCTGCCCAACAAGGTGAGAGCTGAGGCGGCATGGAGCCCACTCTGCTCTGCCCAAACCCCTCGTGCTGACTCCCCCAAAGGCAGGGAGGCGCCCCTTAGTGACAGCTTATTCTCATATGGAATAACCTAAACATGTCCTGCTCCAGAGAAACTCTGGTAAAATTTCTGCAGGCCCCTCCCCGCGTACCTTCAAGAGGCCAATCGGTAAGACGAGTGGATCCAGTTCAAAAGGAATGCCAAGATGAGAAAAGACCGAGCATTTCTCCAACCGCAGAAAGATCAGGCCAGTCGAGAGCACTGGGCCCGGGAGAGGATTTGGGCAGAGAGGCGACGGCGGCAGCAGGGTCCGACGCAACGGACACCTGCACCGGCAGGCCGTTCAGGCCTGGGCTCTGCTGACGGCTGGGAAGGGCGAACCGTGGCCAGCGCGTGCAGTCCCAGCTGCCAGTGGAGAGGGCGGCTCCGTGCCCGGCCAGCCAGGCAGGCAGGCAGGGGCTCCATGCTCTGCGTCGGGGCGGCCTGTCCAGAGCTCTCCAAGCCACAGCGGGCAAGGAGAGCCCCCGTGCGGGGTTCCAGGGCTCACTGCTCCGACCACAGGGGTTCAGCACCGAGGCCAGCAGCCACTGCTGCTGTCCCCCCTTCAGAAGCCAGACGCTGAAGAACATGACATTCAAATCTAACCACATATAAAATGACTGCACGTGCCCAGGGAAGGGCTCAGAAAGACCTTAGAGGACATTCAGCTTGCACCTCGGACAGACCCTCCGCCGACACAGCCGGAACATCCGTCCATCAGCAAACAAGTGCAGTAAAAGGCAGTGAAAACCCCAGGGCGGGGGAGAATCTGACTCCCAGGGTTACAGCATTACATTCAAACGTCCAGTGTTGCATCAAGAAACCACGGAAATAAATCAATAGGAATTGCTCCTGAAAAACAGAGGGGCAGGTATCTCAGACCAAGGCTTTAGAATAAGTCTTAAAAGATGTTCAAAGAATTGAAGGAAGAAGTAGAGAGTGAAAAAGCCACTGTGTGGGCAAAATGGAAATATCAATAGAGTTAGCCTGCAAAGAAATAGAAATTCTGGAGCTGAAAATATTAACAACTGAAATGAAAGACTCATGGAGAGAGTCACAGGCCTATCTGAGCAGACAGGAGACTCAGGTATGATGGAAATCAGCGATTCTGAGGAACCAAAAGAGAAAAAATTGAAGAAAAGTGAGTGGAGCCTGAGAACCTGTCGGCCCCCATCAAGTCAACCAACATACACCTAGGAAACTCCAGGAGAGGGAGAAGAAGGGGCGAAGGGAAGAACTAATGGCTGAAAACTCCCCAAATTTGATGAAATTCATGAAAGAAACTTCATTCATGAATTTCATCTTAATGAACTGCAAGACAGATACACTCAAAAAGAGTCACACTGACACAAACTTTCCAAAGGGGAAAATCTTCCGGCGACGAGAGAAGCCAGGCAGTGTGTGCAGGAGACAGTCAGGCCATCGGCAAGTTCCTCCCCGGGAGCTTTGGCGGCCGCAAGACAGTGGACAGATGCACTCAAAATGCTCTAAGAAAACAGTCAAACAGACATTTATACCCATGAACTGTCCTTCAAGAGGGAGAGACAAAGAAACAGCCCAGATAGGTCAGGTGCCGTATCGAGCCTTTCGCTAGGACAGGACATCCTCTTCTGTCTCTTGTAACCTTTCTTGGCTTACTGTTTCTTTTTTCTGATCTTAGAGCTATTTCTGCTTTGCCTTGGTTATTATCACTCTATACCCGTTTGTACTCTGAACCTCAGAGAAGTGCCTTGGTGGTGTATGTTTCTTTCCATTCTGTCGATCTGTCTTTGGGTTAGAGCTTGATCCATTTACGTTTGATGTAATTTCTGGTGAGGGACTATTTCTGTAAGTCGAATGACAAAAACTCTGCTCTCTTACAGCTCAGTCCCTACCCTCTTCTTGCTGATGTTACACAACTATCATTACACACTGCAAACTTGAAAGTTTCATGTTTAAAAAAAAAAAAAAAAGAATCCAGAAAAGAAAATTTCCTAGGCAGTAACAGCAGTTAGTATTATTATAACAACGGCTTGTAACTGACTTTTTCTTTTCCACATGTAGAGAGATGAAAGATTAGTACATTTAAAGAAAAAACTGAGTGTAAAAGCTATCATTACTGTAATATAATCAAATATGTTAAGCAAAAACTGAAAATTAAAGGAAGAAACACCTCTACAGTAACAGATGCCCACAATGAAGGGCAGACAGGCTGCCAGCACCACGCGTAACGGACGACGGCGCTCGCGCCGCCACCGCCACGTTTCTCAAGCATGGGGATAAATTTTCCAAGATGAAATGTTAAGCCACAAACTAAGTCTTAACGTATTTAATAAGACAGACATTGCACAAAGTATCTTCTCTGATCACAGCGGGGTACAGTCAGAATTCAATTACAAAAGGAAAACTGGAAAATTCACATGCTGTGGAAACGAAATACTTTTAAACTACCAATAGGAAAAAGAGCAGAAAGCCCGCTTTTCGAGGAAGAACCTCTGTACTGAGCACGAAGCAGGTTACGGCTGGGCCCGAGAAGCCCCGGAGGCTCTGTCCTGTCTGCCGCAGGCGGCAGCGGGGGCAGCGCCCGACGGAGCCGGGGCGCGTGGTCGGGGAAGCAGGCTCGGCCGTGGGTGCTCGCCCACACTCGGCAGGAAAGCCAGGTCCCACCCCACAGACCGGAGACGCTGAGGGTCTAGAGAATCCCAACAAGTCTATCCCGCAACAAAAACGCTCCTCGCCGACAGTGAGGCGGGCAGGATCGGTAGCTCGTTTCAAAAAGCGCCCCAATAGCTGGCCCTGCCTTATCTGTCACGAAACAGAGAGGCGCGTGGTGTGCACAGCCCGATATTTACACTGGTCTACACCGGATCTGAATCGTAAGCGGCTGAAACAGCATCTGTTGGACGTCTGATCCCCTGAGGCTGGCTTGTGGCTGAGTATGACTACAAACAGCTTTTGAATTCCGATAGTAACTGTGGGTCAAGCAGTACAGTCACTGTTTTCTCCTCCTAAACATAGCACTGGCCCGATGAATGATGTTTGACTTCTCTAAGAGGTGGTGAATGTCATCTCAGAATCTGTAGGAGAGTGGGTTTATGTTTAGATTTACAAAGCCATCCGTGTTGAGATACCTAAATACTCAGGAAACCCACCCTCCCCCAGAATAGAGCAAGACTCCCCTGTGCTTCAAGATGGCAGGGTAACAACGGAAATTCAGCAGTCCTGCCCATCAAAAGGCACTATCAACAGGGTAAAATGACAACCCACAAGGCAGGAGAAAATATCTGGAAATCCTGTATCTGATCAGGGATTAACATCAAGAAAATACAGAGAACTCCTGAAACTCTGTAACAAACAAGCTAATCCAGAAATTGGCAAAGGACTTGAGCAGGCAGTTCACCGCAGAGACTCACATGGCCGACAGCACATGGGAAGAAGCCTGGCGTCACCCGTCACCGTGCATACGCAAACTCTAAGATGTCCCCCGCCACCCCTAGGACGGCCGCCATCGACAAACCAGAAACTGGCTGTTGGGGAGAAGCGGGGCCCTGTGCACTGCTGGTGAAAACGTACCCACAGTCACTGTGGGAAACATGGGGGCTCCTCAAAAAGTTAAACTCAGAAAAACCGTAAGATGCAGCAATTCTACTTCTGGGTAGAAACCCAAAAGAAGTGACTCGAGGAAGATTTAAATCCTGGCTCAGAGTCGCAGCAGCCGTATCAAACCCGCGGAGAAGTGGAAGTGACCTGCGGAGCTCAGGAGGGAGGGAGGGAAGGCCAGCCCAGACGTGGGTGATGTGTATGGTGGGCTTCATCCCGCCTTGAAAAGGCAGGAAATGATGCAAAATGCCACAACACATAGGAACCTTGAGGACACTACGCAACATCAAATAAGCCAGACTCAGCAGACACGTGACTGCAGGTACATGACATGCTTAGAGTCAAAATTATAGAGACGGAGAGTAAAAGGAGTCTGAGAGGAGGGAGCTGCTGTTCCCTGAGCGGAGGCTCTGGGACAAGCGCCACAGAGACCATGGTGCTCACAGTGCAGAGCCATGCAGGTGTCCAAGTCCACTGAAATGTACGTTCAAAACAGGTCAAGATGGTAAGTGTCACACCAAGTGTGCTTTACCACAATAAAGAAAAAATTTTGTTAAAAATAGAGTGCCAGCTCCCCAGGTCACCTGGCCCGATGGCAGGGCTGCTGTGGGCATGGTGGCCTCGTGGGTAAGCAGCCACCACAAAGTAGCTCTCACCGAAGCCGTCCGCCCACTACCAACAACTGAGGTCTCCAGGGGAACTAAGTCTCACCTTCCAGTGGGGGACACCCACCAGCCACAGGGCACTGGCTCAGGAAAGGGGAGGCAGGCGGAAGGGGCAGGTCAGCCGTGGACTGACGGAGGAGGAAGACAAAACCCCCGAGTAACTTCCTCTTCTTCCCTTTCACAAAGACAGCATGTCCCCCCAACCGCTCCCGTGAGGCCAGCGTGGAGCACCAGACGGTGGCCTGGCCCAAGGGCTGCGCTCAGCATCAGCACGCCCTCCACGCCACGCCCCTCCTCGGCACCCAACCAGCCTGGCCGCACGGCCTCACCTGGCCTGCATCCAGCCCTTGGGCCACAGAGGCTTGACCTCGGCATCCAGGAAGCCCTTGACGCAGTCTTCCCAGGACTGGGCCTTGTTGGTCCTCTCCAGATCCAAGCTCTCCAGCTTTATCTTCACTACTCGGCAGAGCAGCTCCCTGAGGAGGAGGGAGAAGTCAGAAACTCCAAACCACCCCACACATTACATTTCTGAGGTTTCAGTCACGTGCTGTCAGCAGCCCCAGGTAATGATTAATGATCAAACGACTCCCACCTCATCAGAGCTCCGGGCACATGCTCAGCCAGTGGTCCCACAAACCCCCCCACCCCCGGAGGCCAGCCGGGGCACACCTGATTTCATCATTCCACTGGAACTTCTTCCGGGGGCCCATTATCCTTCTGCCCCCCTTTTCTTCGTCTTCCTCCTCATCAGAACAAATCCGTTCTCTCTGTTCCTTGTCTTTCTCCTCTTCCAGCAGCCTGTAGCATGAAGAGAATTCCATGGAACCCTGAAGTCACCACAGAGCACTGTCCCTCCTGGCTATCACCTCCCCATGGTCCAACTTCTAGCTTGAAGGTGAAAATGCTGAAGAACCCAGTTTCATATGGAAATGGAAACAGTAAAAAACAGGCAGGAGGAGAATTCCAGGAGGGTGATGAGATGCACGTACTTGGCCACCTTAGCCTGTGTGTGTGCCTGGCATTCATCTTGGTATTTGGCCATCTGCTCTGGCATCGCCCTGCCAATGGCTTCCTTCAGCTTCTGGAGAGGCTCCTTCAGGCGCCCCCCCTGTAGAAGACAGGAGACACCTTTAAGCCCGACCGGCACATCACCTCTCACCGAGGAGGTCACTCGACGGGCGCCGACTGCCGGGGCCCCCCAACGGCGGATGCGGCGTCTGTGAGGTCTGGCGATCCCGCCACTGGCCCCAAGCCTGCAGCCCCCTCCAAGTCACCCACCTGCTCACAGAGGTGAAGTCTCCGGGCACGTTTGGCCAGGGTGTCCTTGCTGCAGGGCAGGAACGAAGCAAGGTAGGCGTACACTCCCGAGCGGACCTGGCTGCTCAGCTCCCGCGCCTGCACCTCTATGCTGAAGAACAGAACGGAGTCACCCAGGGGTGCAGCGTCCCCATCCTCGAGCCACCCCGCCTTGACACAAAGCTCGGCGCGAAGAGCGGGTCAAATCTCAGCTCATCAGCTACCCCAGGTAAGGGCGCAGGCCAGGCAACAGAGCGCCAGCAGCCGCCCAACAAGAACGCCCAGCCCTGCCCATCTCTGCGAGGGGACACGAGTCGGCATGTCACAGACGTCACCGCAAGGGCACGTCTGAAGGACGGCCAGAGGCGAAGGAAACAAAGCTCCAAAATGGAAAGCAGTCCTCTCAGGGCAGACAGGCGTCCAGGGGTGCCCTTCCTCACTGCCCAGCCTATCCAGATTCTGAGGTGAGGGAAACCCCACCTCCGGCTTCCCCACCAGCACGCAGTCTTCAGCCCTGGGCTCCCCAGCCGGCCACTTGAGCAGGTGGTGTGCGCATCCTGGGGCGCGCTGGGGCCCACGCCTCCCACACTCAAGCCTGGCCAGTCCAGACCTGGCCAGGCACACTCATCTGCCGGGAAGCTGCCAGGTCTTGACGACTGCCCCTCCACGTGACACGGCAGGCGTGCCGCAGCGAGTTTCCTCTGCCACATAACGCAGGCCAGAAGAAAAGCTGGCGGGGCGGCAAGGCCAGACACAAAGAACTTGGCTTGGGTTAAAAACGCAGGCTTTTGTTTTGCTTCAGTCCACTGCACAGTGTGGGGTCTCGGAGGTCTGGAGCGTACGGAATGGTGGCACTGACGGGCAGAGGGGAGGACAGTGGGACTCCCCAAGGGCGCTGAGGAGCACCCAAGAAAGCAGGCCACACCGTTGCTCACACCTGGATTTGCAGGGACAGGCAAACCACACCTCCTTGCCTTGCCTCGCCCCCCCCCGGCCACAAGTCCTCCAACAGGCCACGGCTATTACGCCCAGGCTTCTGGCGGTGTGTGGGTCTGAGGCCAGTAAGGTCTATTTGGGTCCCCCGCACCCCACCACCGTCTCCAACTTGAAAAAAACAGCATCAAGGCAACAGTAAAAAACGTCCTTTTACCTCGCTGGTGGCTACCCCCACAGGGCTGGGGAGCTCCGTGTCCCTGGCCTGCTCAGCCCAGGCCTGGTGACCACAGAGACGAAGGCCCAGAAGGTACTCACTCTAACAGGGCGCCATTAACATCCTGGGTGAAGAACTTCTGCCTGCTCTCTCCCTCGGCAGCTCTGGCGGCCTGGTTCACAGCAGACATGGCGTGTTAGTGCACGGCCCCTGCACGGCCCCACTCTCCCACGGCACCAGCGCGCCGCCACTCCCGCAGCCTGCCACCGCGCCGGTGCGGTCCACCTGGGTCACGCTGGGCCCTGGAGGCCTGCCCGCTCTTCTCGGCGCTGCGCTAGCATGTACACACTGCCCGCTCTGCCTGGATGCACACAGGGCTCAGGGGCGCAGGGGCTCAGTGCCGGCGATGCCAGAGCCCGCCGGCACACCCTCCTGCGCCAGCCCCGCCCGAGCTGCGGGCCGGATTTCCACACATCTACAGGACAAAGCCTGTTAAGGGCTTTAACAAGTGTGCAAGATTCGAAGGTCTGTTGTTCCGTGCTAACAACAACTAGCACGGAAGGACCGAGTCCCTGTAAAAGCGAGAGGAGCGCCCCGCACACGGCCTCGGCGGCGAGCAGTCTCCGGCTTCAGCTGGCGGGGCAGCCAGCTTGTGGGGAAGCCCCGCGCAGGGGCAGACCTCCCCGCGGCACTCCCCGCCCCGCAGGCCCACGGCCTCCAGCAGGAGGCCAGCAAGCCCGGGCCTGCACCTGTGCGGGTGGCGGCGCCCGCCCATATCAGGAGCTAACTCTAGTGACACTCGTGAGCAGAGCGAGACCGCAGCTCTCAGCCCAGAGTCGCGCTCTCGCAGCCTGCGGACGGACAGCTCGGGAAGCAGGCCTGGCACATGGCGCGGCGACGGCGCTCAGGCGACTCCAGACAAAACCAGCGGGGCGGTCAAGGCCCTGAACCTCCCGGTCCCATGTGCCCGCCTGTGGTCGCGGCCTCTGGGTGCCCTTCCTACCTCTGACCGTGCGATCTCCTCCCACAGGTTGCAAACAGTCGCGGGACCCTCAGGGCTCTGCGCCGCCATAACATCCCGCCCTCAGCTTCAAGGTGGCATGGACGGACCTGGCGCGGCCTCCACACTCGTAGCCCTAAACTCCGTTTTCTGAGCTCTGGATCAGAACGGCCACCCCCTCTGGTAAATAACCGTAACCGTGTCCAAACACACCCACTTCTGGGCTGCCTCCACTGTCCCACCCTTAGTAACAGTGCCTTATTCTCCCTGGGGTCCTTCCACCCTCCTTTAGACCCCCTTGGGAGCCCTAAGCCTAGGGTCAAACCCAAGCTTGTGTGGCACATAGGGCCCTTGGGGATCTGGCCCCAGCCATCCATTCTGGCCCCCATCTCCCACCACATCCTACAACCTATCCCCCCACCGCGAACCCCCAGGCCAGCTCTCCCACACAGGTGCCCACCGCCGCCAGCCTCAAGGCAAATTGCTCTGCAACCCACAGAGCTTCTCTGTCACCTCGCAAGCATGGCTGTGCACCTGCCACCCTTGGTCTCCCAAAGCCTGGGTGCCTGTCTCAATCTGCTGTCAGCTCTGCTGACTGTCGACGTTCACGTACCTCCTGACCCATGCGCACACTCACTGGTGGAGGACAGGAGAGGAGCTTCTCATCATTGCACGGCCCACAGCTGCCTGTGGCAAAGCAGGCGCTGGCCGAGAAGGGCCAGAGCATAGCTACACGGAGGGTGCACACCAGAGGAGGGACTAGCGCCCAATGGCTGAGCTCGACCCGCTCGCGCAGAGCCCGGGCTGGGAGAGTGGGCAGAGGCCGGAGAGGCAGGGCAGGCTTTAGGACAGGCAAGGAAGAGAGGCAAGGTGACTTTAAAGCTCTTCACCTGCTAATTTCTTAGAACTTCAGAAGCAGTCAGACTTCTGCCCAGGCACTTCTCATGCACTGGGATCGTGACTTTAGCATGAGAAGCAACAGAACCGAGCACGTCTTCTGCTTTAGTAACACACTAGTTTTAAGACGCAGAAGTGGGCCCTCCTTGGTGGCGCTTCAGCACCAATTCATTCCCCAGCAGGGAGTGACCCACATGGCGCAGCAGACCTCTCCTGACCCGCCCGCTGCTCCCCTCATCGGTCTGCCTGTTCTGCCCCCCGCTCTGTCTCTGGTGAAGCCTCTCACCACCCTGGCATCTCTGGCCTGTCCCCCAGCTCTGTATGTATAAATAAATCTTAAAAAGGAAGACACTTTATTTTTTTAAAAAAAATGCAGAAGCACCTTCACGCTGACACGATCTGATCATTCCAACTCGGATCCCAAAGGCCCTAGTGCTGCGTCAGGCCCATCAACAGCTTGGGTTTCCAATCAGATTTTATTTAGCCAGTATTTCAGAAGCTTTGCGCTACGTAATTTTTTTTAAAGATGTTTCATCTGCAGTCTTTTGAATTGTATAGGAGTTTCTGAGGGTCTGGTCTTATACTGAAGACAACTAGTCAAATGCTGTATTATCAAGTAAGTAACTAAGAGAGATCTGTCTTGTGGAAATAAGCCATGTCCCTGAGTACTGAGGTGACACCGTGGCCACAGGACCTGGTTAAGTTGATCAATCCAGAACAGTCAGGAAACACAGAAACACGGCCAGTCACGCCACCCTATGCTGGCTCCAACAGCCCTTCCCGAGCTGCCCCACCGCCGAGAGCCAGGCGCGGCCTTCGGCACGCGGCCCAGACCTGCTTTTGCAGCATAGAGTGAAGCCTGGCATGCTGTTCTCTTCAAAAAAGACCAGACAGGTCTGTTTTTTTCGGCCTATTCCCCTAAGAAGCACGTCTCCCTGGGTCTGCGATGCTGGCGGAGATCCTGGGCCACACTGTGTGTCTCTCCTCATCCTCGTAGTCACAGTCACCGTTCCCATTTTACGCCTGACTGGATCGGATATGGCTGGAGCTGAGTGGCTGCCCAGCTATCATGCCAAGGCAGAAACCTGAGGCTCTGCACACGCGAACACCGGCCCTTCCCAACATCGACCACAAAGCTACGACCCCTGCTGAGAAGACAAGGAGGGCCCCCGAGTGGAACCACGCCTCCCTCCCCCGAAACCTCACAGTACGCAGGAAGGAGAGGCGCACGCGGGCTAGGGCGCGGCCCCGGAGCGGTGCTCTCTGATGCTCGAGTTTATAAAGTTTGAACATTTAACATCATCTGGCTACAAGATACTCCGATGCTGCTTCCCACAGGCGCTCTCCCTAGGAATCCTGAGGGAACATCTGCTATGCGCCGTGACAGGCCACAGGGCCACGGTCCCAAGAGCATGCCCCTCCGAGCTGGGGCTGCACACAGCTCACTTCCCGAGGACCAGGGCAGAACGATGCGGGGCACAACTTCTGAGGCCAACCTAGCGCTACCCTCGAGACGCTGCCCTGAGGCTGGCTGAGGGGCCTGGAAAAACCCAGGAGAGGCCAAGCCAGCGGGAAGACAGGTCCATGTCCCGGTGTCCAGTCAGCCTGCAGCCTTCAGAGCCAGGCAAGGCCGGAAGAGGAGCTGCCCAGCCGGCCTGCAGGGTCAGGGGAAATAAAACGTTGCTTGAAGCCGCTACGTTTAGGGGTCATCTTTTGAGACAGCAGGAGAAACTGACACATGTGTCATCCAGCAGCAAGATTAAAATCTAAACAAATGACTGTAATAGTAAATGAACTAAGAAAAAGGGGGGGGGGAAACGAACAGCACAAGTAAAAAGGAAATAAGGGGAATAAAAATAGTGGAGGGCCCTCCCTGGTGGCGCAGCGGGTTACAGCACAGCACTGAGAAGCTGAAGCCGCTTCCGCATGAGTTCGATCCCCGCCGGCCCCGGAGGTGACCCCAGGGCGTGGCAGACCTCGGCTGACCCGCCCGCTGCTCCCTCAGCAGTGGACTTTGACAATCGACCTGTTCTGCTCCCCGCTCTGACTCTGGGGATCCTCTCACCGCCCCTGCACCTCTGGCCTGTACCCCAGTTCTGTGTTTATAAATAAATAAATCTTTTAAAAAAAAAAAAAGAGTGGAAACACACAGCACTGTTAGTTCTATGTGGCACGCGGAACGTAAGCTCGCAGCACAATGTCCAGCACGAGCCTGAGCCAGGCCTCCTCGTGCGGGACCCAACACCACGTGCGCCCATGGAGGCGCCTCTGCACCCCAGGCATCTCTCCCCCAGGGGGACCTCTCTCCCAGCAGAGGCACAGCGAGCACTCAGCCCCACACCCAGGTGACAAGATGCCAAGGGCTGGGTCACGGGGGACAGGGGCGCGAGGGACATGAAGCAACTTTCTAAATGAGTCTTCTCTTTATGCAGCCGTTGAAAGTAACAAAGGCTTTGTAGTATGCGTTATCAAGCAAAGCAAGCAGGAAGCATAATCACAACTGTAATTACAACTGTTCCACATCAGGCCACTCGGTCTCCCAAGAGAGAAGCCGCGCGTGTGGGTTAGCAGAGCACACACAACCTAGGTGGGGCGGACACACAGCCATGCACTGGTTTGACTTTGCTCTAAAAAATCACGTTTGCCTGACTTGACTCACTGAGTACCGAAGACTTTTAGAAGCAAAACAACTTGACTACAAACACAAGTAACAAGGAGTAACAGGAGGCCCTCCGATAGCGCCATGGTAAGTCGCAGCCCTGTGAAGCTGTCGCAGCCACCGCAGCACGAGTTGGATCCCCGGCCAGGGAGGGACCCACAGGGCGCAGCAGACCTCTCCTGACCGCCCGCTGCTCCCCTCAGCAGTGTGCTTCAGTCCATCTGCCTGTTACTGCCCCCTACTCCGTCTCTGGGGAAGCCTCTCACCCCTGGACCTCTGGCCTGTGTCCCAATTCGGTATGCAGAAATAAATAAAATCTTAAAAAAGAACAAGGAGGAATTCTTTTAAATAAAAGTTTGAGAATCAAAATAGGAAGGACAGCTCAAACGTGCCATGTTCAGCTTCAACGGCTGCCCCTTCGGGTGCTGTGAAGACACTCTGCTCCTAGCTGGCGACAGCCCACACACGTCACTGCGCTCAAGAGCGTGCGACCAGCGCTGCACACGGCCCGCAGGCAGCACCGGCCTCCTGCGCAGACGGTCGCGAGCTCTCTGGGCTCCTGCAGCAGTGGCTCACCCCGGCCCTGCCCTAGAACATTAGGGACAGCCCGCAGGACGGCGACTCTGGGGCCCTGTTGAGAATCACCGGCGAGAAGGTGTCAGCGCCACCAGAGCCATCTTAGTTAGATGATGCTTCGTCACCAGTGGCCCGTGACTCCACAGCTAAGGCTGCGCTTGGCTCACACCAGCGACGCGCAGACGGCGTGGCTGGCCTCCAGGTCGCCCTCCAACCCCCGGGCAGCGGCAGTCGTGCTCTGTGCTGGAGCTGCGGCCGGGAGGACAGACGTCCAGCGCTCCCGTCACCACCACCCGGCACAGGGGAGGAGCGAGTCCACGGAGCTACCAAACCCCAGTGCAGCGAAGCAGAGACCACGCACGCTCTACACCCGCCAGCTTCTGTAAACACGCGACTCCTTCAAAAGGCTGCACAGTGAGCGTCCGCTTCAGGCGCCTGCCGCTGACACTCGCGCAGCCTGTCATGCGACAGGACGTGTTCTGTGTGTGAGGAACTGACAGGCAGAAAATGGAAAATCTGCCCCAAAGAAAGCCAATTTTCAGGACAGCAGGAACGAGAGGCCTAAAGATGACGTCTGACAGGCAGAGCCCGCGCTGCGGGGAAGCAGCGTCCATCTGCCCACCCGCTCTCGGGGACACCCGGCCGCCTGTGTCACCGTACCTGAGCCAGCTCCTTAACGCGCTTCTCCAGGGGCGCGGGCAGGCCTTCGGGGAGGGAAGTGGGGGGCCTGAACTCCTGCTCCAGCCCCACCCCGAGGGAATCGCTCTCATCGTCCACGTCGCGGAAGGGGCTTCCTCCTGGAGACTCACTGAGCAGCTGCTCCAAGTCCAGATCAGTGAGGGAGTCCATGGCGGTGGCCGCCTGGAGCAAGTCATTGTCCGACGCCGAGCCGAAGAGCGAGAGCAAGGGGTCCGAGGCGCCCTCCAAGTCCCGAAGGCCCTGCGCGTCCGCCGAGGAGACCACCACGGGCTTGTGCTCTTCATCACGCTTCTTCTGAGCTTCCTTCTCCTTCTGAAATTTCTTTAGCATCTCTTTCACGCTCAAAGCCCCAGAATATTTCTTCTTCTTCTTCTCCTTACTGGCATTGAGGGCTGTGAAGCTGCAAGGGGGAAACGGGTTACTAAGGCTGCAGGCCAGCTGGGAAGGACGGCCAGAGGGACTCTGCCCTGCTCCCAGTGCAATGGCCTCCAGCAGCCTCAGTCACAGTCCACCCTGTCATTCCTCCTCCCGCCTCTTGGCATATGGAGCAACTTCCTGATGAGACCAAAGCTTGAGATTTAGTACAGGTTAGCAAACAGTGTCACATAACGCTAATTATCCGACGGGTTTTTAAGGACCACTGCCAGGCTGAAACAAAAGGTTGCAAAGGGGCAAGAAAACTATTTGCAGGGAGAAAGCAGGAGCAGCAGAGAGCAGCAGCAGCTGGAAGGGCAGCTGGGGTGAGACGGAGGGAGGCGAGGCAGCAAGACCAGAGAAGACAAAGGGAGACGCAGACAGAAGAGCCGGGCGGGGCGGGCGCCCAGAGCACACGGAACAGCCGCAGCCGCAGGCGCCAGGACAGCCGCCGGCACCAGCGGTGGGACAGAGACAAGGCTGGCCGCCCGCACACACACAGGAGAGGCGCCACGGTGCCCACACGGCACCACGGGAGGTGGGAGGGGCACAGAAGGCCAGGCCCTGCTGCCCCTGTGGACGCTGAGAGGAGGGCAGGTCGGCTCCCGGTGTCCTGGCCTAGCTGCTCAAACGTTATCCTAGCAAAGAAGCGGCTGCCTCTCACCCGGCTTTGGAAAACTTGGACTTTTTCGATTTCTTCTCCTTGTCATAAGTGTCATCTTTTTTCTTCTTCTTTATCTTCTCACCACCTTCCTTCAACTTCCGCTTCTGAGAATTAAAGACAAGGCACAGTTACACGGCCCCCTCGCTCGGGAGCAGGTGCACTCCGCAGCGTGGCCTGGCTCCGCCCGGGGCGCGGCCCGAGCGCGGGCTGATCTCCTTCATGGACAGAGCTTTCAGGCGGGTCCCTGGACCCCACGCCCGCAGCAGGTCAACACGGCACGCCCACTGAGTGTCTCCTGGCAGCGCCCGGGCCGAGGCAACAGAGGCCCTTCTGCAGCTGACAGCTTTCCGGCTGGAAACGAGCTGCACACGGGCCTCCCTCTCATTTACACACGGCAGAGGCAGCTAGATTGCAAAGTAAGCCTGTCTCAGGCTAACGTGTTTTCGTCAGGTGACAGCCCCAGGAACTGAATGAAGTCCTCTACATGTTCACAGAAGAGACACAGCAGGCAGGTGCCAGCTCCCCTCACTCCACACCGCACTGCCCTCATCCCCTCCCTGACACCGCCTTGGAAGTGCATCCTGGCCTGCCTGCTGGGCGGGATGCAGGCGGTGACACACAGCCGAGACCTGGAGTTGACATCCCCTTGTCCCCGCTCAGGTGAGAGAAGCAGCCGTCAACCTTGGCACAGCACCTGCCTGTCCACCAATCTCCTGAGTCACCCGCCGGCTCTCACTCTGGCAGGTCACCTACTGATCTTACAACGTCACAGTAAAAAGCACTTCTGAAATCCAAAAGCAGCAACGCTCTAACCTTTGGAGATTTCTTCTTCTTCTCTTTAATGAAATCGTCCTCTGATTCCGATGCCTGTCTGAACTGCAGGGTTCCTGAGTTAATGTAAAATCCACCATACTTTGTAGTCAAAGAAGCAGGAACGAGCTCATCATACTGCAGAGGGAAACTGAGGGTCAGTTCCACATTCTGGCACTATCTTCCGAGGGTGAGGATGGCTCTGGGCAGAGCAGACGTGACCACATTTCTCTGCCACCTTTCAGCTAAGCAGGTGAAGACAGCCTATTGGTCAATCATGAATGTCTGAGCCATTAGGTGTTTTGGAAAAATCAAGGAAGGCCCAGATTAGGGGCGCCCTCCCCTCTCTTCAGTGGCCTTTACCACAGACTGCGGGTATGCCCACTCTGACCCCGCCCCAGCCCCGGGCCATTGTCAACAGGAGGTCAAGTGCACAGCTGGGACTTGGAACTGTCCCTGAGTGCTTACCGCCTCAGAGTTGTCGATGAAGGAATCCGATTCATCATAACCATACCCCATATCAATCAAGTCCTGGATTCGGTCTTTCCTACGTTTTTTTCCACCCTAAAATTTAAAAGAAACAGTTCACATGCCTTTTCTTCTTTTTTTCAAGTACGTTAAAACACATAGCAGAAAAGTTAACCTTCCTAACGAATTTTCAAGTCCACAAGGATCATATGCTCTTTTTAATACACAGAATTCATGGCTGCCTTGAGCTCCACCAGGCAGTGACTAGAAAGCCCTGGAACAGTAGCACACACGACAAAGCCCAATCCCAAAACAGCTTTAAGACGCAGCAGACGATCTGCGCAAGAAAGCCTGAGTCCACTCTCACACTTGACATCTGACACTCCCTGCCCTAAGGGAGAAAGGCCTGGCGCTTGGCACTGGCTGCGCCTGCCCTGCCCACGCTGCATGCCAGCATTGGCAGCAGCGCTGGTCAGACCGACGGCCCGCTACGGGGACGCGGGAACGTTTAGGCACCTCCCCCGCTCAGCGAAGTTGTTGTGTTACCCAAAAGGATCTTACATATTTTTCTTCAAATTTCCGGGCAAGGACCTCCACTTTATGCCTTTCCTTTTCATCGTCATTGAAAGGATCTGAGAGCTCTTTCTTCTGTAAAGAGACCATTTCACAAAAAGTCACAAAAAAATTCCCAGAATCCTATTTTAGAATTTTCTGATGACTATCCAATACCTAGAAACTGCATAAAGACTCATTTTCAAAGTTTCTCAGAAAAGACAAAATAGAAAACATTAGTCCTTCCTATCAGTGTCTCAGTTGCTTAAGAAAGATTTTTCAAAGACGTGACTCAATGCAATTTAACTAACTGCACTGCAGTATCCCACAGGGCTCCAAATGTGGCAAGGTGCCTTCAGGGGCATGCTCAACCTGACAGAACTATTTCAATACAGCAGGCTCCCTCTGAGACCCTGAAAAGTACTTTACACGTTTAAAAACATCACTCTAGTAAGGGACCCACTGGTCTCACCGAGTTTCGTCCAAAGCAGTCAGTGGCTCACAAGACTGAGAACCCACCAAGGAAGCTGGAGCTCTTGAAAGCAGTTCTGCCCTAACCACTAGGAGAGGGAGGAACTGGACTGGCCCAAGTGCAACCAAGAGTCACCAAGAAAGAAGAGGGATACTTCTGCAAGGTCTTCCTGCTCTGGGTACTCCCTTTTCTGGAAGCTTATTTTAATGATTAATCATATTTTTCTCCCAATGTCAATACTCACTTCAAATATTTTTATGTGGTTTTCCAAAGTTTATTTCTATCCCATCAACTTAACCCTTGAGGCTTTGTTATCAAGTAAATTTACCAGAGTTACACCTAAAGCTTCTTTGGCAAGGGATCTTAATCTTAATAATAGACTCCTGCACCAAATATGTTTAGTACTTCAGAGGAAGCCAAAAGTAAAGACTTAGATGCCTATTTATGAAAAAAAAAAAAAAAAAAAAACCTCTCATCCACTCTCCCAACACTGCCTACTGAAATTCCACCCAACCATACAGGTTCAGTTAAATGATTCAAAATATCTACGAATAATGAGATATTGCATACCATAAATATAATGTATGTACCACAGGTGGGTGGACTTTAAAACATGTGCGTGTCTGTATCATCTTATTTTCTACAATGAAATCACATGCAACTTAAGCAGTTATAATCATTTTAAGGGCCTCCTTGGTAGCCTAGTCTCAATGCAATGGTCAGAGCTCAATTCCCGGCCAGGGAGTGACCCCCCACAGGGCTCAGCAGACCTTTCCTATCTCACCCACTGCTCCCCTTAGCAGTGTATTTCAGTAAATCCATCTGTTCTGCTCCCCACTCTGCACCTCTACACCTCAGTTTTTTTATGAAAAATATAAAAAGAAATAGTAACTAATACTTTGAAGAGTTCCACCAGCCTGGAATAGCATGGAATGGTGTATACTTCTTAACACAAACAGTAGTCTCCCAAGAAGCCTAATTTCCTGAATGTATGAAGGCCTCCCTTTGTCCAAACATAGCATTCAGGAGGAAAATTCACCTGTGTGCAAGCCCTCCAGGGCCTGTATTTGGGCCATACTAAAACAATATCCATACTGTGACTTTTATCAGCCGTGTTGGTATGAACATTTCTCAGCTTCTGCAGTGTCTCCACATTATAAAAAAAAAATGAGCTAAATGAATTAACACATGTATTTTGAACAGTGCAAAGCAGGAGTCCTGAAACTGAGAGCAGGAGTCCTGAAACTGAGAGCTGGCCTCCGGCACAGACATGAGCCCTTTGAATCAGATCCAAACCTCTCTGGGTACACTTCACGCATTTTTCTGCAATGGAGAGAGAACATGTGAACCCCCCAAAAGGCGGAAGGGGAGCCCTGGAGTTCTAAGTTCAACTGATCTACTGCTTTGAGTCCATAAAATCTTAACCGATCCCCACGGCTTTCTCTCCATCTCAAGAACAAGGATATTATATGAAAGGGCTTAAAGACTTCTCTGACCCACTGGCCCTCATACAGCAAAACATATTTTAACGAAGGAAGCACATGTTTATCTGAGCAAAGGAAAGTGGGTAAGTGAATCCTGCCAACCACAGGCAAGCACCCCAAGCCTCACAGACACTGGCAGAGAATGCACCTGCCTGCTCTCGTTCAATCCCAGGGCCAGTGCACGATTCCCTGCTTCACCCAGAGCTGTCAGCGGAGGCCACGCTCGCCTTTTCCTCTGAGTTGCTGAAGCGCGCAGGAAGGGCCAGGGCTCCTGCCAGGGCCCATCGCACGGCACACTCCTGTCCACACAAAATGTAGCTGTGCAAAGCTGTCCTGAGCTGTGAAAATCAGGACAGCAGTTACCCCTGAGGGCCTAACGAGCTTTGGGAGAGGAGGAGGGAAAAGGAGTTGGTAGCCCAGGTGCAGGTGAGGAGCTGTTGAGTCTATACTCGCATTAAGCTGTGCGGTTAGCATATGCATGCTTTTCTTGTATAGCAGCGCACATGGAAAGTTTATAAAAACTGTTCACTGTGTTAATGAATTTAAAAACATCAGCAACAGTTGAACTGGTAACAGTTATATGGGCTTATTATATTATTCTCTCTATTCAGTGCGGCACTGGAAAATTCTATGCTAAAAAGTTAACCCACCAGGAAAATAAACAGAGCATTTAAAAAACCGTGTGTTTCATTGGATTCACCCATTTTGCTCCCCACTGTGTCTCTGGTGAATCCTCTCAGTCCCTACACTTTGGCCTACATCCCAGTTATTGTATGCATAAATAAAAACCTTTAAAAATTTTTAGGCCCTCCCTGGTGGTGCAATGGGTTAAAGCACAGCACTATGAAGTGATCCACAGACACTGCAGTAAGAGTTCAATTCCTGGCCAGGGACTGACCCACATAGAGGTGACTCTCCTGTCTCCCCACTGTTCCCCTCAGTGTATTTCAATACTGTTCTGTTCCCCACTATGTCTCTGGGGAAGCCTCTCATGTCCCCCCCCCCCCCACACACACACCTCAGGTCTGTACCTCAGTTCTTACATGTTTAAATAAATAAATCTTTTTTAAAAAATCCTTTAAGAGGGCCCTCCCTGGTGACACAGCAGGTTAAATCCCAGCACTAAGAAGCTAAAGCCACTTCAGCAAGAGTTTGATCCCTGCCCCCCCCCAGGTGACCCCCCAGGGTGCAGCAGACCTCTCCTGACCCCCTGCTGCTCCCCTCAGCAGTGTATTTCATCAGTCAGTCTATTCTGCTCCCCACTCTGTCTCTGGTGAATCCTCTCACCGCCCCTGCCCGGCCTGTATCGCAGTTCTGAATGCATAAGTAAATTTTTTTTTTTTAAGCCCTTTAAGAGACCCTAATGAACGAGGGAAAATATTTGGCGATTATACATCTGACGAGGGGACAATAGCTAAGATTCACAAAGAATTCGTACAACTCAACAAAAAGAAAAAGAACCCAATCAAAAAAATGGGAAGAGCTAAATAACTACTTCTCCAATGATGACATATAGATGGCTAACAGGAATATGAACACAAAAAATGTTCAAAGTACTCATAATCAGGGAAAAGCACATCAAAACCACAGTAAGACACCACCACACTCCAGTGAGAATGGCACATAAAAAAACAGCAAATGTTGGTGAAGATGTGAAGAAAAAGGAATGCTTGAACATTGTGGGTGGGAATGCAGACTGGTCCAGCTCCTAGAGAAAACAGCACAGAAGTGTCTCCAAATATTAAAAACAGATCCACCAAGTCCACTCCCAGGTACCTAGCCAAAGAACGCAACACCACTATCCAAAGGGAGGTAGGTGCGCCTGTGTCCACTGCAGGTGCCACTGACAAGAGCAGCAGACCAGGAGAAGCAGGTGGCCAGGGAACACTGCGTGGCTGGGAAGGATGGACTCCCGCCACCTGCAGCAACACAGAGGGGCCGGAGGCTGCAGGAAGCAAGCCGGAAGGCGAAAGAAACACTGGCTGACTTCACTCACATGTGAAATCTACAGAAACACAAAACTAAACCAAGACAAACTGGAAATACGATGGCAGAGTTGAGGTATCAGAGGGCGAGGGGTAAGGGATGTGACAGGGTTATGTGGGGAGGGATCAGCCCAGACTAGGGTAAAGGACTGTGGCTGCTTTGATGGCGGGATGATGGCGTAGGAACATGCATCATTCTCCTAAATCATATACACTGTTGTAAGCCAATGTTACATCAATAGAGAAGAAAAGAAACAAAAGAACACTGGATGTTTAAGTGAAAGGAGCAGACTGTCTTTCAGTCTGCCCTGCGGCTAGGCAGCAGACTCCCTCCAAGCACAGTGAAATTGCAGCCGGGAACAGCCAGGGTCTGGTCACCTTTACACAAAACATTTTAACCTCCTGCTATTTAAAAAAAAAAAGAAAGAAAAACTCGTTTCTGTTATTTATACAAATTGACTGTAATTCAAACTGGTCTTAGACGTTCCATATGATTTCTCTGACACATATCAGGAGAGTGGTTCCAGAAAACATTCCATCCCTTCATGCTCAGAGGCAAGCCCAGCACACTTGATGCCTGCTTTGGGATGAATGTCCCCCCGTTTGACATTTTCCCTCTAAAACCCCACTTGCACTGGCCAACACCCACTTTCAATCTGCAAGTGAGTCTGAGCCCACTGGGCTGTACCTTGTCTCCGGGTTGAAGGCCTTTCACCTTCCCTCGTAAGTTCTTCACCAACTCGGGATAGAAGAACTCTGGGCAGCGCTTGTGGTCTGGCTCAAAGAGAGTGAGTGTAATCCGAACAGCTGCAGCAGCCGGCTCAGAGTCCTGGTGCTGTTCTGCTCCCCCAACCTCCTCCTTCCGGGACTTCTTCAAAAATGCGGGATTCAGAGAACCTGGGAGAGAGGTGAACTGGACCCTGTGGGGCTCCGACATGGCTGCCAGCAAGTCTTAGCGGGTGTCACTGCATGGCTTCTGTTAACACTGAAAAGAAGAGCCAGGTCAAGCCAGTATGACAAAGATGATGTTTCCTGGTCAGTTATGTAGATTTAAGTTTAAGAGAATTTCACTGTCACGAATTCATTCTTAAATTGAGCTCAATTACTATTTACTACTTTGTTCTACTTAAGCACTTTAGGTAGAACATTTGCACATCTTTAATATTTTCCTGTTTGAAATACATTTTTTTGTGCATATGAAGATCCTCTCGGTGATCGCTGCTCCTCAGACTCCAGATTGTCGCCTATGCCCATTCATTATATCCTTAGCAGAGAATCCACGCTGACAGAGCCTTTAAAAATCCTCAAAGTGCAAAACCACTGGTTTCATGTATTAATAAATTTCATTTGAATTATCCAACTTTTTTTTCTGTCTGGAAATGATTTCTTCCTTAAGATCTCGTTATTTTTATTATCAGCTGATTACTTTCATTCAGGACCAATCTTTTTCAACAATCAAGTTCTCACCAGCTCACAGAAGGTGCTGCCTACCCTAGAAGAAGCAGAACACCAGTGTCTCAGGAGAGGGGTGCAGTTAGGCTCACCTCTGAAGGCATAAGCCTCCCTCACCAACAACTTTGGCTTCGACAAAACAAATGATCACATGCCAAAGAGAGCTTCCACCTTGCTTGGGAATGTTTAAAACAGATTGTGACTCCCAGGATTCAAAGGTTAACAGAATATAAATAAGCAAATACGTGTCATGTATGCGTGCACACATGTACATGCATGTGTGTGTCTTTTGTGTCCTCTTAACTTGCATTCCGGTGTGAACTTCCCACCATGTCACAAACAAGGCTCTTCACTGTAGAGTGAACACCCTGCACTATGAGATTGGTTGGGGGAAAATGTGGCTTTTAAATTGATCTGCAAGGGTTTTTTTGGATGATATCTGTTTTAGATTATAATAATGCCTGTCATATATTTTATATTTTCCTGCCTTGTTATTTACTGTTTAATTTTTCTCTGAGAGAAGTATGAGAGAAATTTTAACTTTCTATACAGTTAACAGTATGCTCTCCCCCTTAAGACACCTACTAAATTTTAAAGGATTAAAATGCCCTTCTCTAGCCTCATAACTCTTTGTATAAAAAATTATCCACCATCTTTTATTGATGTACTTTGCACATTGAGCTTTTTAAAGTAGGTTGAATTTACTGCTGGACAGTGAGCGGTGAAGCCCTTTGTTTCTTCCTCACACCAATAATCCTCTTTACCCCTGTTGATTGGCATGAATCATAAAGTAACATCTTAAACATCTTTAGGTCAATTTCTGAAATTCATTTTGTTATATTAATCTACTAGATAAAGATTGTTTAACCAGAAATGTGCACTGTTTGAAAATTTGTGTATTTTAGTATCTTGAATTAAAAGTTCATCTTTATTATCCTTCTAGCCTATTCATTATTTGAGATCAATTCTCACTCATTTTGACAAGTTCCCAAATAAGCTCACTGCATTTTGATTGTAAACAAATCATAAATCATAATGAATTCAGAAAGCTCATACAGATCACATATATTCACATATGGCATATATTTGTATGCATACAACAGTCATTCTATTAGGACCATACATTTGTGATTTTTAAGAAGTAATGAGAAATAAGATGTCTAAAATCTTAAGTTAGAATAATTCTAGTTAGCAGCAAAGTCATTAACAGCAAAATAAGGTGATGGGGCAAAAGACCAGCATACACTCAGACAGTGAAAGAAATTCCTTTAAAAGAAACTCTCAAGTTCTCCAGGTCATTTGTGATGTACTGGGTTGTGAAAATAAATCCCAGCTGAAAGCTGCAGGATTTAAAGGTTCCCCACTGATAAAAACAGGCAAAGTCTCTGTACAATTTGCAGAAAGTACCTGCAAATTAACCAGCAGACTGCAGGAATATCATCCTGGGAGTGACAACCAGGTCTCTGCCACATTACTAGCAGTGATATTTAAAATACAGCCTTTCTCTTAGTCAACATTTTAGCTGTATGACTTTGCACGCCTTAGAAGTCATAGAAATAACAGAGGATAAAGTAAGTCAAATCGATAGCATGTTAACATTTAGAATTAGACTTTGGATTACATTTTATGATCCCAGTGATAATTAGTTACCTAGTAAATGAATCATTTGAAATATTTAAGCAAATCAGACATACTAATGATTGCTAGCCTTACAATTTTATCTTGAAATGCTTAATATATCTGAATTTGAAAGTATGCTTTTAAAAGAAACTGACTTTGACATGTTTATTACATTTACAAGAGCTAAATCCTTGGAAAGATTGTACTATTAGATTTACAACCAGTTTTTGTGAAGTGTGACTACTTGAAAGAATAAGCAAGCAAAACTTTAAATGCAATTAAAAACACTCAGGAAATTTAACTTCGTTAAAAGGAGTTCATTATTTAAGGGAATTTAATTTGCTAAACTGATGCTTTAATTGAAGCTGTCAAAAATGATAATGACTGCTTTATATAAACCAGGTTAATAAGTAAAACAAAATCTGTAAAACTTAAGATCATTCAATACACAGCTTTAATGAGCTGAACACTATTTTAAGCAAAAAGTATAGTATTCTATGTACAAAAATATTACTCTTTAAAAAACTTCAAATGATGTTATTCAAGATAAGCTGGCCTCCTTTTGTTTCTCGGGGTAGTCCCAAGAACTGTACACTTTGTTATACATCCTCCCAACCAGTTTATTTCAAGCTAATTATTGACAAAACAGAAAGTCTGAATTCCATAATTAGTCTCTTAAATTTTACTGATTTTAAGGCACATCCCTTCACCTTTTTCTCTTCCCAAAACAGGCTGCTCTATCCTCCACAGAAAAGAATTCCGCCTTCAGCTTTCTGAAAAATCGTGCTGATTTGTTTCATGTCGTATTGCATTGGCTAGAACTCACAGAATCGGACAACATATCCTTTGCCGTGTCCCTGCCTCTAAGTCCTGTGTGATAATGTGTTAAGACTCACACAGTTTGTCAAGTCCTCAAAAAGCCGAGAGTTTTAAAAATAGGAACTTGTGCTGAACGTTATGAAATGATTTCCGGGAATTTAAAATTGGCTTTATCGGATCAGTGTGTCTTACAGCAGTGCAAACAGTCAGTGACAGCTTCTGAAACTCACTGAGGCTACTTTAGGGAAAGCGAGCGCTCGAGAAAAAACAAGTGGCAGACACCCCAGTTCGCGGAAACCCTTCTGTTTACAAAGTCCGGGCGCAACACAACGCCCCGGGGGAGAAGCGAGCGCGCCGCCGCCGCCTTCTCAGGCAGCGCAGGTGCGAGTCGCGCGGCTCCAGGTCGGTCGAGCCTCAGCCCGAGGGCGCTGCAGGTGGCCCGGGGCTCGCGGGCCTGGCCGCGTTCCACCGGGTCTGCAGAGGTAGGGGCGCCGCGGCAG